CGCGGGATTCGAACCTCGGACCGAATTACCGGTGTTCAGCGACTTTACAACTCGGCCACTGTTAGGCCTATATGCCAATAAAGATACATAGTAATATTAATCTTTTGAGGCCGGGCTTTGGTAGCAGTAAAAGCTACCAAAGGACGGGGAATCTTGAACCGAATGCTTTCCCCCCTTTAAGAAATCACCTCCTATTTGCAACAAAGATTCTTGTGTGTAGTTTTAATGGATTCTCAGAGGGGTGCATCTATGTCGCAAAAGGAAGACTTTTGAAAGAGATAAGTGGTTAAAACCACAGGGACGTCAAATTTGACATTTCACCCCACCTTTCAGCCTGGAAAATGGGGAAAAGACATGGCCACTAAAGTGGACAAACCCGTCTTTTCAAAGAGGGCCTCTATGGCCACTATAATGGCCATCTCGTCTTCAAAAGGTTAACGTTACAATATCTAAGAAGATATTGCAATTTCTGCGTCATTTATCTGAATTTGCCCCACTGTTGCCCACTGGTAATCCCTAGGCTCAAATCATTTAATATTGCTAGAAATACTCTTTGTTTCGTCTGCTACAGCTTGCAAATCTTTGCTATCATCACCGTTGTCATCAGCTTCGTCACCATGAAATCTGTCTTCAGCCGCCCAACCGGTATAGCGGGTAGCGCCAATGACTGCCGTGCTGAAGTTCCATGATCCGAGTCCCGAAGAAGGCATGGATGTTTATATAGTTTCGGCACTCTAAATATGCGACGAGCCGAAAGTTGTCTTGTCTGTCTTGGTCATGGAGGTAAGAAAGGACTATGGACCTCCATGGGCTTGGTGAAAGGGGATAGAGGTGGGAAACCCCTGGACACGTCTTCCCAGGGTGCTCTCAATCAGAATTGGGGACCAAAATGAGCTAAATCTCACTCCCACGGTACTCAAGGCTGTTGCCAACGGCAGACGTAATCTAACACTCCTCGCCACCAGGAATTTTGTTGCCTTGGGCTGACTTCCTCAGACAAGTGAGCATAAGCAACAGCAACAACAGCAAATCTGTCTTCCCAATCTTCAGAACTGTAAAGAGTGTTAGATATCTTCATTTTCTTGAAGCTCTTTTCTGTTATTATTTCATGAGCTGGAGCCGATGCATCCAAAATCCAACGGAGCGCCCCTCTAGCTACTCCACTGACAGACATACGTACATAGATATCTAAAAAGTAACTGTTTTAATAGCTTTCATTTTAAAGAGGACAATAAATAATTATCTTGTACTATTTTTCCTTTGCCCTATTTTCCACGTTCTCGAGAAGCCAGTGTTCTGGAGTAACTGGAAATTTATATTAATTGTACAAATAACCTAATCTTTGTGCTATGGTGTGTTATTCTTACTACCTATCAGTAATACAGGTAGTAAGTAATAATGCCTGTATAAAGCAGGTATATATATACAGGGGTTGGACAAAAATATGGAAACAACTTTAAAAAAACATGTTTCTTTGCTTAATATGGTGTAGGAAACCCGTTGGCATCCAAAACAGCTTGCAGTCTTCTCGGAATGGATAAATACAGTTCCTGTATGTTTGCCAAGGGAATATTATACCATTCTTCCTGCAAAACGGTGGCAAGTTCAGATAACGATGTTGGCGGTGGATAACGAGAACGCACTTTCCGTTCCAATGTAGACCACAAAGGTTCGATAATATTCAGGTCTGGTGACTGTGGTGGCCAGGGGAGATGGGACAACTCATCCTCGTGCTCAGAAAACCAGTCCTGGACAATGTGAGCTGTGTGAACAGGGGCTTTGTCGTCTTGGAAGACACCATCACCATCGGGGAACAAAGTTTGTACCATGGGATGAACATGATCGGCCAAAATGTTCACATAAGTCTTGGCAGTCATGTGCCCTGACACAGTTATCATGGGGCTAGCAGAGAACCACGATATGGCTGCCCAAACCATAACAGAACCCCCGCCATGTTTCACTCTTGGCAACAACAAGCAGTCTGTATTATAGGCTTGAGATGGCGTTCTCCAGACGTAAACTCGGCCAGAAGTGGGAAACAATGTGAAAGAAGACTCGTCAGACCATATTACTCGCTTCCACTGCTCTATAGTCCAGGCTTTATGACTTAAACACCACCTTTTCCTGTTACGGGCATTAGCATCACTGATGAGTGGCTTCTCAATTGCAGCACGGCCAGCAATTCCCTGTTTATGAAGCTCCCTTCTAATTGTTTTGGTACTCACAGGGTTCGGTAACACAACATTCATTTCAGCAGTAACTTTTGCAGCTGTGGTCTTCTTATTTTTCGTCACAATTGCCCTTAATGATCGTCTGTCACGATCACTCAGGACACACTTTCGTCCGCGCTGTGATTTAGCAGATGATGTTTTTTCCGCTTTTCAAATATGCGGAATAAATCTTCGATACAGTACCTCTTGAAACACTAAACACCTCGGCTACCTTGCTTACGGAAGCACCTACCATACGTGCTCCAACAATTTGCCCACGTTCGAAGTCTGTTAACTCTGACATAATGCAATGACAACCTCACATAACAGTACTCCGACAACAACTGAACTGTTTAGCACATTTACGAAGTTGTATAGGTGGCGTCAGTAGTCAAAAACGCCAGCGCCACCTACATATTTCATTAAAATCAATCTTTCTTTTCAAACATGCATTTCACAAGGTGTTTCCATATTTTTTGTCCATCCACTGTATATTATATAAATAATCATTCTTTTCTTTAAAAAAAGTAAAAATATTTTTTGTTTTGCGCCTTATAAGCGAGGTTTTAAATCGGAATATAGGTGTTGCTGTCATAACTTTTTTCTCGCCGTGAATTCTTAAGCAACTCTATGCTTCGTACAAGAACATACAGTTTACGTTATTCGGGAAATCCGACCATATCCAGCGAAACGCTGTTATGTCCCTTTTGCCCTAGAGCTAGCACTCCTCTTCCAGTTATTAACATGTAAATGAGTGCGATCGTATCGCCTTACCGGGTTGGAACAAACGGTCGGTGGCGCATATTCCTGAAGATATGACCGGGTCGGGGAGTCGGAGGGGGTGGTCTTGGGTGTCGTAAAATCCGAATGAAGAAGATCGGCATCGAAGATTGGGGAACGCTCTTCGCGTTTTAACAGGAAAGGAGCAAGTATTTCTTGTGAATAGCTTCAACTTTTATGGAGATTGCGAATTGTCTACTTGTGCTGCCATCTGTCGACAGTTTGAGGAAAGAGAAGAGATAAATTTCAAAAGAAATGTTATCGGAGAAATGCATGATAAAAGTAGCTCATTCACTTGACTATAAGATGATGGTTTTCCATCTAAAATGTCCTTTTTGAAATCACGCCATTCTCATATGAGCAGCCTAGCATTTAAAAAAAAATGTTTTTTAAGGTATCCTATTATTTAGCTTTTAGTTTTTACGCGAAAGACAAGCATGTTTACTTCGTAGTTTTACCTAACACATGCTATTTAGATAGATCATCTTTAATACAACAAAATCAGAAGCCGTATAAGTTGTCTCTGGCACATTTTCAAATTTTGCTTACGTATGCTGTACCAGAACAAAAGAAAGAAAATCCAAGATAAATTGATGTTTGAAATTTAAGTCGAGCACTGCATTGCTTAAAGATATCTATAAATATATTTCTACAATTTAAAATACTAAAAGTCAGCTGTGATTGTAGGCAAAAATACCTGCCCCTTTCAAGTTTTAGGTTATTCAGCCTTTTTGGTTTGTAACTTAATTATTTTTAAAGATGTTTATAAAAAAATAATTATAATTATTGAATTATTAGTGTGTTATATTCAAGATTAAAATTAATTTCAGAAATATTTTTCCTTAGTAAATCAATAAAAATAATTTGTCTTCCACTCCATGTCAAGTCCGTTACTTTGAGATTATTTTACCCACAATTAGTTTGTAAATTTAGAGAGAGATATGTACTTCAGATGCACATGAAACAATTATCATATACAAGTCATGATTGGATTTTTCTAGAAGTATCAAGGATTTATGTGTGTTTCATTCAAACAATGATTTTCCAGTTACGTCTTTTTGGCATGGTGCTTTTAGGCCTGGTGAATGGCGCGAAAGAACATGACATATGTAAATTTTTTTAATTGTAGTTACTTGCATTTTGTGTATGTTTACATCCAGATACACAAGCTCACTTGCATGTATGTTTTATCATGCCATAACATATTCTGTAATACATTGCCTGTTGTACGATTAACATAAATATAAATAATTATTTCGCCACGCTGTGGATCCAACCGGTCTGTTGAAAACATCACTGCTGGGCGGAACAGAGTTACTGTAGGTACCAAAGTTTCGGACGTGTACACAAAAGCATCCCTTCCCTTAGGCAGATAGCCCTCGAGGCTTTGCCGTAATCATATAAATAAAACTAAAAAAAAACTAAACTCATTGGCGCAAACAGCGCTAATGGGCCAAGGCCTGCAGTGCCCTAAAATCTGCTTTCTTGGCTGTAGGCTTCGAGGTGCGTAAGCATATGCCCTGAACAAAACGTCAGCTTGTCGCAGGACCCCCAGTGTTTAGTCCTCAAGCGAACTTGGTACTCATTTTATCGACCGAAGTGATGAAAATCAAGGGATGAAAGGCTAAGTCGACCTTGCCCAGCCCGGGGTTCGAACCCCGGACCTGTGGTGCTGCTGCGCTAGCCATCGGGCCTATAAATCAAACTAAACCAACCCAAAAATTCCGAACTTAGAATTTTAGAAAGACTACCAACGAGGAAATTCAGTGTATCATTAGCCACCCTCAGTAAGCAGATATGTGAAAAAATGATTGCAAATTTCACCGCAAAAGGACGGTGATGGAGAGCAAATCGGGAAAAGCATTCTTTTTCGTTCTTAAATTGAGCATTTATTTAGAAAAAAGGTATTTAATTGGGCATATTAAATCCAACGTTTATGGTGGTACACCTTTTACTATATGCTTCTTCTAAATAAGTGTAAATGGGTAATTGTTTTATTATTTTTTTCAGAGGAACCCAAGGTTCCTAGCGAATACCTTCTGAAATGTCCCCACTGTGAGCAAGTCTTTTCCGGCCAACAGGCTATTCATGAGCTCAAGGATCATTTGTGCCATTCCCATAAAGAGGCCGGTCCTCCAGAACCGAGCTTTGTGTGCCAAAAATGCAATGCCCCTTTCACTTGCAAAGAGAATCTTGCCAAGCATAAGCTTTTTCATGCTACAAATGGACAAGTAAGCATAATACTTCATTTAGTATAATACTTCATTTAGTATATCATGTTTCTAATTAATTTTGTATTAATAATTACGAGATGAATTTTAGAATTGAAAATTTTCGCTTTCGAGTATGTACTTGTATCAACTGTTTAAGATTATAGATCTCAGTACATTAATATTAATTTTTAAGCTGATTATCTGTGTATTTGATGTGCATTAAATTACAATCGCTGGTGATTTTGGAACTACTTGTCTAGGTCAAAATATATCACCTCAAATTGCGAGATATGGGACATCTTGTTTTATTTTTTTAAACGTTTTGGTTATCGTCTTCACTCGAGTTTTGGCTCTTTATGTATATAATTACAAAACATACATATATAATTACAAATTATTATGTAATTATAATTACATATATACAGTGGTGGCCAAAATTGTGGACACTTTTGGAAATTTTTATGTTTTTGAACTTCATATGCTTATAGAAAATGTTATGTTTCGCAAAATGCAAACTTGTATATATAATTTTAAAGAGAATTAATTACTGAATTCAATACAAAACACAAAATTCAATTATTGGCAATACAAAAAAAATGTTATATGTACTTTAATATAAATAAAAAACATAGTTATGAAGTGGTTAGAAACGAAATTCAGCCAAGAAATTGCGCGGATTCAGCTGGACCTGTTTCATTGAGTAATGGAAAATTTTCGGTCAAGATTAAAAATTTTTACACAGAAATAGCTCTCACTCGAGCAGAGTTATTTGTAAAAAGGAAATGGTATGTTTTTCTCAACTTAAATCTGCAGAAAAATTCTAATAATAAATGTTTCATGAACAAACTGGATACTTTTAAAATTTCCCACTTCCCTGGTGGGCCTGTTTTATATATATATATATTTGATGTGATAAGTTTTCAGAAAGGTAATAGATAAATATCATAACATATACAGTGAATTAAGAGTGTCTGATTTCTATGGTATTATTTTTATGAAGCGCTAAGATTTTGTAAATTCTTAATATCAGTGCTGATCCTACAGTGTAAAACACATATGTAAATTCAAGGAGCCTCTTAAGATTAAAGACGAGTGCTTAAGGAAAGTGGTGGAAATGTTGGTATGAAAATTTTCAGAGTTGTGAATTGAAACGGCACGTTTGCTATTTTAAGAAATACTCATATTGTGTAGTATAATATTAATGTAGCACCTATGTAGCTAAATTTCTTTGAACTGTATGGCAAAAATTCATTGTATCCCTATTGTGGATAGGAGAGAATATGTTTGAAATGAAAGGTCGTATATTATGTTTCAAGACAGTATTTCATGTGCTGTCTGTAATTTCAGGGCTCAACAGTTGCCAATGATGAAAGTGTTGTACTCTGTATGTGTAGCACTTGTGTAACGGTGTCCGCCGATAACATCGCGGCAAAAACATCGCGGACGAAAACGTCGCGGAGAAAACAACGCAAGGCGAAAACGTCGTGCTACAAAACATCGTAAGAGAAAACATCGCAAAGAGAAACCATCTCAGTTCTAAAACATCGTGGTACAAAACATCGTCGTCCAAAATAAAGCGGTTCAAAAACTTCCCAGTTTAAAAATCGTCGTCGAAAATATCGTGGTAAAAAATAAAGTATCTACAAAACATCGCATGACGATAACATCGCAAATATACTTTTTTGCAGGTTTTAATAATTATAAATGGATATTCCCATAATGATTTGTGAGCGCAAGGTGTAAAGAAGGATAATTTTTAATTTCACATTTTTTTATTAACTAATAAATTTTTGCTGAATAAGTAAGAAGGAAACTTAAGCATAGAAAATTAAATGCAACTTATAGATTATACTTTTCATGAAAAATTACCAGTAAAACTTTATAAAAAATAATTTATTAATGGCCTTTGTTAGTTAACAATGTCGGTTTAAAATTCTATTAAGTGCTATAAGTTGCATTAATTTTCTATGCTTAAGTTTCCTTTTTATTTTCTAAGCAAAAATTTATTAATTAATAAAAAATATGGAAGTAAAAATTATCCTTCTTTCCATCTTGCGCTCACAAATCATTATGATAATATCCATTTACAGTTATTAAAGCATGTCTGTAAAAAGTATGTCTGCGATGTTATCGTCATGCGATGATTTGTAGATACTTTATTTTTTACCACGATATTTTCGACGACGATGTTTTCAAACTGCGAAGTTTTTGAACCGCTTTATTTTGGACGACGATGTTTTGTACCACGATGTTTTAGAACTGCGATGTTTTCTCTTTGCGATGTTTTCTCCAGCGATGTTTTGTAGCACGACGTTTTCGCCTTGCGTTGTTTTCTCCGCGGCGTTTTCGTCTGCGATGTTTTCGGCTGTAACCTGTGTAACTAAATTTCATTGAACTGTATGCAAAAGCGCACTGAATCCCTATTGTGGATAGGAGAGGATATGTATGAAATGAAAGATCGTGTATTAAGTTTCAAAACAGTATTTCATGTGCTGTCTCTAATTTCAGGGCTCAACAGTTGCCAATGATGAAAGTGCTGTACTGCGCAAGTTCAAATGCAACGAATGTGGAAAAGCTTTCAAATTCAAGCATCACCTGAAAGAACACATTCGAATTCATAGTGGGGAGAAACCCTTTGCCTGTCCAAATTGTGGGAAAAGGTTCTCGCATTCTGGGTCTTACTCATCACACATGACCAGCAAGAAGTGCCTCGTTGTTAACCTCAAGGTAAGTTTACTGTAATTCTTATATTTTGACTTGAACTCATGTGCATTTAAGGCATTTGTTTGATCGAACTGGTCTTTCAATCCTTGCTTTCGTTCATTATCTTCCAGGTGCGCAAAGTGGATAGTCGCTCACCTCGAGGTCGTGGATCTACACAGAACAATTCTTTCCGCCCAATCATTCCCAATATGCTTCCCCTGGTGCTGGTGGAGGCGCAACCGGTGGTCCCGATATGCCACTCGTACCTGCGGGATACATGCCTTCATCTGAGAGATTTTCTAGTTTTTCTGGCCGACTCCAACAGCCGTACTTGCCAATTAATTTGCACCCTTTACTTGCGAGCCAACCACATTACCATTTGCCCATAGGAGCCTTTTCAGATGTAACACATTTATTGCAGCAGCGTAGGTGCGTACCTTTCAATTATTATTCACAGCATTATTATCTTTCGTGATAAATCTTAATAAATTATAATTATTTTATTGATAACAGCTGTTAAAGTATTGGAGTAAATTATATTGTTTCTGACAAGTGATTCAATAAAAGAAATAGTGTAATCCATCATGTTGACTCTCTATTTTTAATATTCGTAATAATGTGTTTGCTAATTGCATATCTAATTAATTTTTGTTCCATTTTGCTTATTTTAAGATATGAAAATAACTGTCCGCCAAACGCAGATCATCAAGCTCACTCTCAGCTTTCACCACATCTTATACCTACTTCCTCAGCTCTTCTTGAAAAATCAGAGGATTCACCTGTTTCCAGCCCAAAACCTCCAGGAGAGATAAAGAAAATTCTGGAAATCGTTGATAACACTGTTTCAAAGCAGCAGCAGTCTCCTACGAGGCCTAGAACAAATGGGCTTCTATCTGAACTGCTAAGTGCTGCACCTCATCCATTAGTCAAGTCTCCACCACCGCACTTCGCAGCTTCTATTGATACTCGATGCCGCTTTTGTTCCAGCCTCTTTGACAGTAAAATTGATCTCCATCAGCATGAGAGATATCTTTGTCCTCGCAATATAGAACTTCGGACTAAACAGTGGGAATCAAAATTTTTCCAACCGCTACAGGAACAGGGTAGCGATGGGGAATCAGGAGAAGAAAGCAGACTTCGAACATCTCCTTCCACTCTTAGTGTGGACTGTGTTCTCACATTGAAAGCCCATTACCAAATCAACCCTCGTCCAAAGAAATCTGAATTGATTAGACTCTCGCGGGATCTTAAATGTCCGACACGGACCGTGCAGGACTGGTTTCATAGTCAACAAACGCGAAGCAAAGAATTTCCTTCGAATGGAGATATGTCACACAGTCCCCCACCTCAGCACCAGCAGAATTCAGGCTTGCCTTTTCCGTCTGCTGTTGTGCCTCATTGCAATGGTCACTCGTTTTCGGTTGCAGCTGTACCTCATTACAATGGTGCTATATCATCTAGTAATCAGATAATTCCCTTTCGACCGATGGTTAACTGTTCTCCAAATGTGGACATGCCCAGTCATGAAGAAGACCAGCCTCTTGATCTATCAGTTAAAATGAGGCGCGAGGAAGAACTGCATCACCAAGAGAGCAGCACTTCCAATAATCTACCATCTCCAACACAGTTTGAAAGTGAAGTTTTGAACCTCAGTCAGAGGTCTTCGCGCACACCTCCGAAGGTATCCAGTCCGTATCCCATCCATAGTCGAAGCAATCATCAGCCTCGTGTGATCCCTCAAAATGAAGATACTAGTCGGGATACCTCTCAAAATCATCTGCACTCTTCCCTTCTGTACAAATACATGCAGATGGGTACTTCAAACCGTCGGCCGTCACCACCGCGGGAAAAATCACCAATTATTGTGATGCCTTCCTCTCCGAATAGGTCCCCACTTCACACTGAACCACCTCAAAGCATGCCATCACCTGTCAGTGCCAGCTATGTCGATAACAGCAGTAGTCCTAGTGGAACAACAGGCTCCTATTGTCACACGGATGAACCACCTGACGGAAATCCATATAGTCCCAGTGGAGCAAAGAAACTTCGCATTTGGAATCAGGTATGTGCATCGTTATATTTGTGGGATTTATTCATTAAATTCCTTACGTAAGCCAGGCTTATATTCTGTTTGTACCTATGTGTACTTCTGACTTTCCTTGTCCAAAAACATTCTTTGGATATATTTACCTGTTTTGAACCCAACTGCCCAAGCGTCCGAATGACTGATTCATCTGCAGGCATTTCTGTTTCTAGCAGATAAGAATTTGAGTTCAGTTTCGCGGGATTTCCTCTTGCTGATGCTGAAAAATACCAATAAGATACATATTATAACGTGTTTAGGAAAGCTACTAGAACAACACATCAAGTTCACGAATTATTATCGTGGCAAGTAGTACAAGATTGCTCCTGTCGTTGGCCAGAACCTTGAGCACGGTACATATGACTGCCCGTCTTATGCTGTACCTCATTACAATTTAATAATTTCTTAATTAATAATTAATTTCTTAATAATTTATTAATTTCTTAAAACTGGGGCTTAATTTCGCCCCAGGTTTGAAGGAGAACACCCTGGGAAATAGATCAAGAATCTCACGGTCCTTTTCCTCTATCACCAACCTCTCGAGAAGTTTTTCGGCTCGCCGTATACACTCATGTCCATAAATTAAGGATAATGCAAAATCAGGCAAAGGAAGAGTGTTAGAAGCAAAACAAATTTCACTTATTGTAAAGCTTATTTATTAAACAAAAGGTAAAGAGCAAAAAAAAAAAAAAAAAAAAAGATGCTATATGTTTGATATTATTATAAAAACTAGCGATTTTCTCTCCCTGGAGCAAATTACAAAAAACCAATATTACATGGTTGGTATGATTGTTAATACATTGTATGTCTCCCAAACGATGCAATACAGTCTGTACAACGATTAGGCATGCTGAGTATCAAATTATCGATCTGATCTTGGGGGATATTACACCACTCAAAAAGCAATGCTCTCCGAAGTTCCGGTAGACATGTAGGAGGAGGTTGACGGGCTGCAACTCGTCGACCAAGCATGTCCCACACGTGCTCTACTGGATTCAAGTCCGGTGAGAATGCTGGCCAGTCCATACGGGTGATATCCTCCGATTGAAGGTATTCGCTTACGATGTTTGCACGGTGAGGACGGGCGTTGTCATCCATAAACACAAATTGTGCGCCCATGGCTCCCCGAAACAAAGGTACATGTTGTTCCAGAATGACGTCCCGATAGATTTGGCTTGTCATGGTTCCAATTTGAACATACAGGTCAGTTCTGGAACCCATAATAATTCCACGCAAACGAGCACTCCTGCATCACCGTAACGGTGTCGTTCAGTGATGTTTTCTTGGTGGTAACGGGTACCTGGAGCTCTCCATATGAACGTCCGACGAGAATCGGACTGCAAGCTAAACCTGGACTCGTCGGAAAACATCACACAAGCCGACTGTTGCGATGTCCACAATGCATGCTCTTTACTCCAGGCTAACCGCAGGTGACAGTGAGTTGCAGTAAGTGGAACGCATCTGACAGGTCTACGAGCATATAGACCAATCTGCCCTAAGCGTCTGTACACGGTCTGCCTTGAAATTGTCGTACCAGTGGCTGAAGAGAGCTGACGAGACAGGTCTGAGGCTGTGCTCCGCCTGTTTCTTTTGGCAGCAACTGCCAAATACCGGTCCTCATTCTACGTTGTAACTCTGGGGCGACCTGTGCTGTAACGTCTACTTACATTACCATCATCTTGGAATCGTTGCCAAAGCCTGAAGATGACACTCTGGGCAATTCCAAGTTCATCTGATACTTCCAGTTGGGTATGCCTACATTCCAGACGGCCGATAATTCTACCACGTAAAAAATCCTCCAAATGCGTCCTTTGTGTCATAACTATTCGGTTATTGCACTGAAATGCTTATAAAGCGCCTGCGAACAATTTTACTTCTTTGCCTGTATTCCTTATATATCACTCTCTTACACTCTCGTCATTGTGACGTACCATCGGTGTCATCTGGTTACTTCCTGAAATTTGCATATGATTCTTGAAGATGTGTGTAGTGATTTTACAGGTGATACATTTATTTTAGAGTTCGATTTCCGCGTGACTCCGAATTATCCTTAATTTATGGACATGAGTGTAGTTTGAATATCCCCATGCCATGTTGTGTTGGGTGAGCTGTGTTAACCATGACACTGAATAATATCGGCCAAGAGGGTTCAGCTCACTTGTATATTATAGTCCCCACCCCCAATGCTGAACAGGCACTACACATTTAAAAACTCCTTCTCCAGGTTTCAAAACCGAACCCTTTTGTATGGCAGTCAGCTTTGCTAACCACATTCTTGTCTGAGCGACATGTGTCATTGTTATAATCATTAACAAATACGAAATACTGTCATTATGCACTTAAACGGGAAGAAACGTATGATATTTAAAAAATTCTACGTGGTAAATTTAGTTTAACAGAATATAACTTATAGGATTTCATGTTAATTAAGCAATTGTTATGATTTGAAACTTTACTTTAATATCTTCTTTTCGTAATCCTTACCAAAATACAAATAAGTTGTTTCAATGTTTTAGGATGACAGCTTTTGGCAGCCTTGTATGCAGTTACATACTATCGCAAGCTCTGCCAAAGCTTATTCCGACTTTAGCCATTTTTCTGGCCGACGTTGAAAGCGCGTCGTTAATTCCTAGAGTCGGCTTACGTAGACTGTCCTGTATGTTTTATCAGACTACGTTACACCGATTTAATGCTATTTTAAATACTCACAGGTGGCGGAGTTCGTTCTTTTGTTAATTTCAAGAGTTAAATGAAAAGTTTATTTGAACTTTCGTCAGACTTTATCATTTGATTCAGAACAGAGCGATAATGAGCTTATCGGTCGGAGGAGGCTCAGAAGGACATGGATTTAAGCTTCTTCTCGGCTAGAATCCTACAAATTAATTATTGGTATGCATTATAGTTTTCGTTAACTGTATTGACTAAATAAGCCAGCTATATAAGAATCTTAAAGTTGTATAGAAAGTTATTTTTTAAAAAGGAGGCTGCATTCATCAGGTGTTACCTGGTGTTAGGGAAAGTTCATTCAAAGAATAAGATAGTCACTCATGTTAGATTCTTTCGAAGTGCGTATGATTCTCGCATCAGTTTAAGGCTGAAATTTTTGCCTAATTTAACTTTTCTGTCTGTCATATTTATATTAAGTCTATTAAAATTAGTGTTATGTATTATTTGAAAGTTAAAGAAAAATTAAAAAGCTACTGCTGCTTTTTATTTTTCAAATTTTTAGGGATTTTACGAAGTTGGACGCTTCAAAATAGATATAAAAATAACTTAAGTTTTTTTTTAGCCCAAAGAGCTATTAATTTCGTTTTGGCATTTTGCGTTGAAAACCTTAAATTTCGGTTTACTTTTCAAACTGTTGCCACCAAATATTAAAGCCCTGTATTATATTTAAAGAAATTAAATAATGAAAAATCTGCATAAATGTATGTATGTTTCTCGCATTGTGATAAAACGATGGTACCTAGAGCCATCCAATTTTCAATAACGTACGTTTCTATCCGAATATGGGCATCTGGAAGCCCAAATTTGGAATTTGATTTATTATCGATTTCATATTTGATAAAACTTTAACGAATTTTGATTAAGAAACTCAACGATTTCAAAGCGAGGAATGGCAATGTTGTATAGAAAAAACATTTTTATCTCCAGTGCGCGAGATCGTGTATCAGAAGTTCTAAAGATATGCTCATTTTAAAATTATTTTGCGATATTGCTGTTGAACTGAATTTTATGGTTTAACTGCGAAGAACATGATATTTAATAAATAAAGGGAATATTAAAAACGATAAAAAAACGCTCCTTTGGGCATAATGTAAAATCTGAAAACTTTCAGATTTTTTTAAAATTTTTCTACTTTTTTATATATTATTTTTCATTTTTTCAAAACAAATTTTTTTCGAGATATTTTTTTGTCAAGAACATTGGGCCTCCACTTGTAGCTGAGTGACTAAGACAGTTAAATGTTGAGCCTTCCACTCTGATTTGAAATATAGGTGGGCGAAATCGCCTCATTTATGCCATTGGTTCGAACCGTTCGCTCACTGAAACGAATCCATTCTTTCTACTGACCCACATCTCACTAACAATATCCTTAATGATAAACCTTTGGGAGCAGGGAGTTAAATCTAGCGGTAAGGGAACGAACCTTGAAATCGGGTCTCATTAGCGAGGTTGAAGAGCGAAAAAACTCCAACGAGCAGTAGGATTGGTAAAGTCGACTCAATCAAATGCTAATTGAATGAACCGATTCCTTTCAACTGAGTTTTGAAATTCCCTAAAATCTCCGCTGGTAGTTCGAGTCTGTGTTCAATTCCAGGCAGACGGACTGGCTGTGTGGGCATTTTCGCGGTTTTCCCCATGTGTAACGTATATACGAGCCAAATTTTCTTAGAAGTCCTCCACGAGGCCATACCCCTCTTAAATACGTAGCCCTCGAGCCAGGGGCGTGGCTAGAGTTTCCAGCGCCCGGGGACAACTGAAGAATTTGCGCCTCTTTCTGTGTGCCAAGGATCGAAAACATTTCATTAAAAAATTTCGTAGCATCAATTTGGCGCCCCATGGATGCTGCGCCCGGGACAGATGTCCCCCCTTGCCCCACCCATGGCATATATCCATTTCTGGCTCGCTTCCAACAGGAGATATCCGTGAACTTCAAAAGAGCTAAAGTTCTATTTTCTGCAATCGGAGTGAATTCACTCAGTAAAGTGAATTGGTTCTTTGAATCAGTTCAGCATATCGTCCAACTCTAGTTTAAACGGCAAAGGAAAGGAGCTGGCTGGCTGGTTGGTTTTTGTGGTTATCTCCATGTGTAACGTGAGTACGAACCAGTTTCCCAGAGAAAGTCCTACACATCATCATCCTCCATAGGTAGATATCCAAAGCATCCCCCTCCATAGGTGGATATCCATCGTGGGCCTTACTTATTTAACCTTCCAGCACGCGCGCTTGGCAATTTTACATGAGCACCCGCGCGTCGTATTTTTTACGACATCCGTTATTTTACCGTTTTTGGCACGAAAACGAAAAAAAGGAGTGAATATTGATAATAAATTTGTTAAGAAATGAAATATTAATCTTATTATTGCAAAATACAAATGATATCGCATTCAAATATAAGTAAATTATTTTTAAGTTCTCATGTTAGTGAGATGGAAATCCAATAATGTATTTTATTATAGGAAACTTTAAATTTATTATTTAATAATTATATTTTAAATCGAAGCTAATTTTAATATTCACCAAAGACAAGTATAGACAATAAAAAAGGAAAACACCTTGGTAGGAAAAAAAGTAGGTTTAGCATTACTTACTTCTGTAAGGAAATTTACTTCTTACTGGTTACAAAAACGCACTTTAAACTAACTTTAATGTTTTTATTTATTTCTAAAAAAATAGAAATAAAAGAAAATAAGGAATGGAAATCGCTATTGTTCTCCCATCCGAAGGTTTCCTAGTCTTCGCTTTCTTCGTGAGATAATTCTTGAAGAAATCGAGCAAAATCAGCTGGTTACACGTATTTTTTGCCATGAAAACCGATATAAATTTACAGAGCCAGATGTATTCAAATTAAAAGAATAAACAGCATTAATAACAGAAAATTACAAAATATTTGAGAAAAAATATATTATCCGAATTTTATGAAAAACACTGCCACGTAGCACAAAAGCCAGTTAAAAAAAAAAAAAAAAGTCAAATGACTTCCTGTTGGCACATTCCGTGATGAGGGGAAGGTTAGAAACGAGGAATAGAATGACTGAAGAAGTCTCAGCCTCGATATGCGAAAAAATGTGCATTAAAAACTGAATTTGTCTTAAATTTTGCGCATACGCGCGTGCTGGAAGGTTAAATGACGTAACGTATCCTCCCTTAAGAGCATTGTTTTAATATGAACTCTTTTGTACCATCTTAAATTTTGTAAGTGAATAAACTTTGATTTCATTTGACATGAATATCAAAGATTCAGAAGAGAAAAAAAGGTTAAGTGTCTGTCAGCATAAAATATATTTAATGTCTGCATTAATGACGAATTGCAAATTTGATGTGCACATTAGGAGTGTTCCTTATTTTTCATAATATTTCTGAAACATTTCAGGGAGAAGGAGACGAGAGCACATTAGAAGATAGTCCTGGAGCTGAGGAAGACTCCTCGGGAGGTTCGGGGAAGATGAGAAAGTCGTGGAAGTTGCACAAAGTCGAGAGTGAGGAAGGCATGTATGCTTGTGACCAGTGTGATAAAATGTTCAGCAAGCAAAGCTCTCTAGCAAGACATAAATACGAGCACTCAGGTAACTACTGAAGTAACTTTTAATAGCGTTATTCTTCTGAAGTTGAGTTCTAAACGGAATCGTTCGATGTGCCAGTTTGATCAGTTTAAGTTTGCAGAGTTCCCACTTGTAAATGCTACGTTACAGTTGAGCGTGAAAAATCTTAAGAACTGATAAGCGAATAATCGCTTGAGTTCGTGTGACAAGAAACAAAACAAGATGGAAGGGTAAATAACCCTTTATTATTCAATAAGATTTAACAGAACTCCATCTTGGAGTGTACAATAAAAGCCAACAACTTGGGCTTGAACTTAAGAGGCTAAGAAGTAAACTAAAACTAATCTAAACTAAAGAGATATAGCCGAAGCTATCCAGATTCTAACCGAGTTGGCCCCTTAATGCTAATAGACTGCGAAGCTATCAAGGGCCTAAGTACGGCCGAGCGTAATAATAGCTTACAAGAGAGTAGCCTACAAAGGCGTACCTGGTAACTCTCTCCCTAAGAACGAAGAACTTCGCGGTTAAATACCGCTCTTCCTCATTATATATTCAGACGTGATTCTAAAACTACATTTTGGCCGGGAGTAGTAAGTTGAAGTTAAGAATCGGCAGGAAAGGAACTGTAACTCAAAATTTAACTGTTAATAAAATTAACATAATCCTTACAAGTTATTTGTAAAATCGTACCCTTTATTCCTCTGCCACTCCTGGAGTGAATCTGTCAGATTAAACTTTCCCATTGGCTCAAATACAAGTATGTGATAAATTAACGCGTTATCCTTCTTTTAAAATTGTTATGTTACTCTATACATAAACTAACTTGAAAAATTTAATGTGCTTGTGGGAGAATTTATATTTTTGATGTTTATGTTTCTTAGATGTATTGTTTGCTTTCTTGAGCAATTTGAATTTGAAATTTTGTAACATTTTAACGAATTTTTGAATTTTATGGTTTGAGTACGTAGAACATAATATTTAATAAATAGAGGTAACACACAAAACGCCCCTTTGGACATAATTTAAAATCTGAAACATTTCAGTTTTTTTTGGGGGGGGGGCTTTAAATTATTTATTTATTTTTTGGTTGAAGGTTCGGTTATTACACGCTCGGATTTTTCACTTTCTATGGTAATAAGAAAAGACTTTTATCTGAATGCTAAAAATTTTAAACCAAGGAAAATCTGAAATTTGCATTTGCTGGAAAACATACTCAAGAATACAAATAATAAAAATAAGCAGATCGTATTAAGAGCTGAGATTCATTTTTGAAGTACAATTTGGTAGAAAGCTGTGGCTGAATGTCTCACTTGGTGGATTAATAGAATTGTGCGCTACGCAGCGTTTTGTACCATATCTTGATTTGCCCGAAACATCCAGAAACTACTAGTTTATATGTATCGAGAATTATGGAGTTAATTAGGGAAATCATTCCGAGAATTTTCGGGAAAGGGAAACAAATTCTAAAAAACTTCGCTAGACGACACACTAAAGTACGATACTCAGATTCGTCGCGAAGTGAAAATTTGTAGGTTCTACTGATAAGTGCAAATTAGCGCACTTTTCTACTTCGTTGTTCGAAGTAAGGAAGTATTATAATCGGGAAAAAAAAAATCGGGTATCATATTTCAACAAAAATATTTATTTAGACCATTCCCGAATCCATTTGGAGGTCTTTTTGCTTGACATCTGTACTTACGGACAGAAGAAAAGGAGAGTTTTTCGAAAACGGATTGTAAAATGGATTCAAAGGGGATTATTTCTTGACGTATGTATGGTATGAATATATTTTGCGAACTCAAAAATGATTAGTTGTAGAACGTTGAAATTTTGTAAGGGACTGCTATAATATCTAGTTCTGCACCTTCCTTTTTTATTGCAATCGACAGAACCAGACGGGTCGGGAATACCCACTTCCTTACCTTGCTTAAAAGTCCTTTCTCGGTCTTCATTTTCGTAATCGTTAGTCGTACTCATATACTTTCAATTACCAAAAAATTTTAAATGATGAAAATTTTCATGTTTTTGCGAAATAAAGAAAGAAAAAAAAAACAAATAAAGAAATCTAATTTTTAATACGGTCTTCCGGTTCCTGTGCTTGTATTTGGGAAAGTTTTATACTCGTGAAAAAAATAAAATTGGAAGAAATTTGACACCCGTATGACAAAAACTAACTGTGTTATTTAATTTCAAAATTTTCAGTTTATGATGTCATTTTCAGCTTGCTGTGAGAGATCGGTTAATTAAGTTAGATTAATTTGAAGAAATAAATTTAAATGTAGTGGCTGCCGTATAAAGAAGTCCTACGGTATCCATATCAGATTTTTTATTAAAAGATTCTTCTGGACGTCAATAAATGTAAGCTATCCGAAGTTTCGAGTAATATTTTGCACTTACCTCCACCGAAAAGTCACGAAAAAGTATTCGTGGTTCAAAGCAAAATGCCGCTAAAACTGATATCTGGCAACTCATGAAATCACCGGAACGTGTTTTTATGGTAAACCCAATATACGCAGAATACATGTCTGTTTTCGCCGACTGGCAATGTCGATGTTGTAAGATGCGGAATTCGTGTAATTCTCTGATGTTTTTTAAGGTAAAACAAATAGCTGCGTACACGGGGAGAACAAAAGAATGATATCTCGAAAAAGATAAGTGTTTTATTATTGATGTTTCTTTCTTTTCCAATTTTATTGATTTTATGGAATTTTTAACGCGCCGTCATTTTGAAAATGGCTGTTGGGGCATTAGCTTAGTTGGCGAGTTTTCGAGACGGGTGTGTAGATAATAAGAAAGTAGCCGCTTTTGCAGTGTAGGATTGGAGATATGGAAAAATCAAAGTGTTTAGATCCTCGAATCCTGAATTTAATGTTTATCTGTAATCATTTTTGCATTTGAATAATATGATTTTAAATTTTGAAGGAATTTTGATTATCTCTTCATTCATTAATGTGTTGGCATTTTCTCAGGTCAAAGGCCACACAAGTGTGACGTATGCAGCAAGGCGTTTAAGCATAAACATCATTTAACGGAACACAAGCGCCTGCACAGTGGTGAAAAACCATTCCAGTGCAAAAAGTGTCTCAAGAGGTTTTCCCACTCAGGATCCTATAGCCAGCACATGAATCACCGATACAGTTACTGTAAACCCTATCATGAGTGATCTTCCTGTGTTTTATGCCTCCTTTCCACAAGCCTGATCTTCGAATATTCTCTACGTCATATATTTACCGCATAAATATGCTTTTCATTAGATCATTGGCATTCAGTATAAAGATTGGGTAAGATTCAGTATAAAGAAAATCAAAGTTCTTTTTTTAATTTTCCAAAACGTTTCAGAGAAACTCGCTTGAAATGTGAAGAGACCTTGCAGATTTGTTAATAAATCCCTTCTTTATATGTGCTGTTGAACTTTATCAGCTTTGTATTATTTTTACACTGCATTCATTGTTAAGTTGCTAGGTAAAACTGCTTTTGTAAAAGGAAAATCAGTAAATATATACTGATGGTCAGCAAAATTAAGCAGTGTTATATAATTATGAAAAAGAGCACTAAATTTCGTACAAAAAGTTTTATATGAAGGCTGAAGGTGATGCATACCATATGAAAATGGTATGAAAATATAATAGCATTATTGTTTAATGTTTTTGTTTTTATTTTTGAGAGAATTTAATTGATGTGAAATTGTTCAACTATATATTCCTTGCTGTAAACCAAAGTAATGATATATTCACAACGAGGATACTGTAATTTAGATGATATTTCTTGAATATTATGAATATTTTTTATTTCTAATGAAAATGTAGGATCTTGAATGGACACAGAAAAAAATTCTTTGTGATCTTAAAATGCGCTTCACAAGATCCATAATTATTTTTACAAAATGATGTAGGAATTATTTGTGGTTTTGTTACTGATTTTTTTTTTCTGAACGTTAATATTTGCCTGCATCTTTGTAAATTACTTATTGTATGTTTAGAGCCTTTATGTGGAATATAATATGATGCTCTATATTTCTAGTGTGCTAAGAAATTTGTAAAACTATATTTCCAAGTATGTTATGTTGTAAAACCATGATCTTATGTGTTTCTAGCTAATTATACGGTGGCCTCTATTCTTGTACAAAAATATATGGATTCTGTATCTAGATCTGATTATGTATGCCAAAGATTGCGTATGTTTTTTTGTTATGATATCTGTTGATGATTTGTTTTAAGTTTAGAATGTAGCTTCATGCATACTGAGATTGTTGCTGTCTTTTTTAAGAAT